AGAGCGGGTGACGGCGGTTGGCGACGCGGGGGTGACGGCTTCTCACTTCAGCGGCTTCTCACATGCGGCTGCTTCATCTAGCCGGTCACTCCTCGGCTGCTTTGAGGGAGAAACAGAAGAGGGGCTTTTTTTTCCTTAATGGGATAAGGGGGAGATACATACCACACAAAATTACCACACTATTTTTATTTTTGAATTAGAGGGGGAAATATTGGATTTAGCGAGGGATAAGTCCGACTCTTTTGTGTTTGATACTAGTGGGGGATTATTCCGCCTCTAATTCGAATATTTTTAAAAAAAAATTTAAATTTTTAATTCTCCCGCTATTTTTTATTTAACTTTAATCTCCCGGTAATAAAATTGAAATTTATTTCAATTAGCTACGAAACTAGAGGCGGAAATGTTACCCACTAATAAAAATTTAAAACAGAGGGTGAATATTCCGCCTCTGCTCTGCAGCTAATTAGAGGCGGAAATATCCCCCTCTATTTTTTTGCAGCTTTTACGCGAGATTCTTGTAGTGTATTGGAGGGAGCGTTTAAGCTCAATAGCCTTACAGATATCATTGACTAATTTATCAGCTTTAGCCTCAGCTTCTAGTCTCTCTCTTTGAAAGTCGTCCAGCATTTTCTGCATCATATCTGATCCTTCGCATAATCTCCTTTCGAACTCCTTTTCCTTCCGGACTTATTCAAGAAGTTTTGCTCTTTCTCGAATTGCCACCTTGTTTGCTTCAATTTGTGCTTCAGCAAACAAAGTGTAGTCACGGGAGTAGGGTGGTTCGTACTAGGAGCCTTCAGCGAATAAAAGTTCGTCGAAATAGAAAATTTTCTGTTCTAATCTTAGGATTTCTTCGACGAGCGGATCAGGTTGATCGTTGTGTATAGGCCCAAATTGGTCATAGTCATCTTGGTGACCATGAGGTTCATAATCCACATCAGAATCTTGGTATGGAGAATATCCAAAGTTCCTAGACGGGGTATCATATGGTGGTTCCTCATGGTAAGGATAGTAGTCAGACCCATTGTTGACTTGGTAGTCATCATCGTATGGGTTCTGATGTGGGTGCTAAGGTGGATGGTACGGAGGGCGGTTGGGTGAATGGTAGAAGGAAGGCGGACCGTAATAACCACTGGAGTCATCCATAATAATTATTACGGGTGGTTGGTGAAAAAGAAGTGAGAAGATCGTTCTAACCAATCTTCACCCAAGCTAATTAAAAGAAATTAAACTAATGACGTGCCACTCTTCAGCAACGGTGCCATTTGACAGTTGTAGTTTTTCGGGTAGTAAACCTTCCCAGTAAAGGGTTAGTTTTCTCTCCGAGTGTCGTATCTCTTGAGGAGTGGACGAAGGGAATTAGTTTAATTACTCTAATTAGGCGAGGATTAGGATTGGTTTTTTAAAGTCTTCTCGGAACGATTATGAAAGGAGCAGAGTAAAAATAATAAATTAAGTTTACATAGTATAAGTATTGATCTGGGCCTAGGGTCTGGATATCATTTGGATCTATTTTATCATATTAAATTAACAATTGTAATAATAATATTTCTATTACTACTCATCCATTTCTAGATTTGTACTTAATCTGTTGTACTTGAATATCATAGCCTTTTGGCATACAATATTTTCTCAATAAATGGTCAATTAAATCTTTCGAGTTTAATTAACCAAATAAGGCAAGAACAATAGATTAACCATTCCAACATTAATTTAACATCAAAAAAATAAACAACCCAACTAGTTCGGACCCAGAGATCCGGACCCTAACTCATACTATGCAAACATAAATTAAAATAGCATTTTATTAAATAAAGAAAACTTACAACCTCCGTAAAAGCGGAACAAAACAGATCGGGAGTCAAATCCTCCGGAAAATACTTAAAAATAATAACTAAACTAATCTACAATGAAATATTGAGCAATTTGAAGGGGAACCCCGAAATGGGTTGTGAGATGGTGAAGAATGAGTGAGGATGCATGCCGCTATATTTATAAGGCAGGGTACGCGGGCGTCCAACCCTCTGGGCGTCCAACTACCCCCCGGCGTCCAACTTTGGACGCCCAGGACCCAAATCCAGCGCCCAATTCGCGAATATTCGAGATCTTGTCCCATTTTTGTTCTGTTTTGGTCCATTTGACTCCCGAACACTGATTTCTACCTCCGAAGTATTATGATCTTTAAAATCTGAAACTTTTTATCCAATTTATACATAAAATTGACAAATTCACTTAATTTAATTTGGAACCCATATTTTATTCTTCTTGAGACAAAACATCAGTTTTGTCGCTAGTAAACACTTTTAATGGGTAAATTTATTACTATTTTCGTGCAATAACGCTTAAAATATGTAGAATAAAATAAGATCAAAATGAACTTATCAGCATTTAATCCTTGTTTGACCATTCCAACGGATCTCTACACCTCTTCCACTATAAATTGGTGATATCTACTCCATTTTTACTCATTCGAATCATCTCTTCTCAAATATTCATCATATTTCTTCAATTTCTTGCTATTTTTTGGTCACAAATCTTGCAAATCTTCTCTCCATTTGATTACATGGCAGGAGGTCAACGAAAGAGATCCCACACCAGCAAGAACGTGGCTTCTTCCTCGACTCCTCCACCATCGACACACAAGTACCTCAACGGGTCGTTCCTTTGGTTCAACGACCGCACAGAGGCTACGAGGTTCTCGGAGAAGTTTGAGCACCGGGAGATTCTTCCTCCCCGGTTCTCCACCGGCCGATTCATTCACAGCGCCATCCCTCGCGAGGCACGGGTTATCCACGAGCGTGGACGCTTCCTCGACCTCCTCTACATCAAGAAGAATGACTACCACCCTTTTCTTGTTCGAGCCTTCTTCTCGAACTTGAAAAAGGATGAGGACGGTTCGTTGATTTCCAACATCAACAGGGTGGAGATCTATTTGAATGAGGAGAACATTCAAATTCTCACCGGGCTTCGTCGGGACGGACAGGATCTTGGCCTCTATGTGGGAGAAGAGTGCGCGGTTCAACGAAACCACCCATTTGGAGCTAGTGGGAATCTGCAATTTCGTTCCCACTCCCCAACAGCGGCGTCCAACAATCACTTCCATGAGTCCCGTGTATCGATTCATTTTTTATGTTTTGACACGGATTCTCAAGCCCAGGAAGTTCAACCACACCACTCTCTCCCAAGAGGACACAAAGACGCTTCATGCGATGATTCACTACCCCAACATCAATTGGTGTAAATTTGTGATGACTCACATGTTCAATGCCACCTCCGACAACCGGCCGCTTCCCTATGCTCTTCTTGTCAAGGCGATCCTTGATGAGTTCCACATCATGACGGATGTCGGGCCAAAATGCAAAGGGACGAAGCATTGAGAGATTAACGAGTCCTCCTTCCACCCGGGAACCGATGAAGCTACGTTCCCGCAGCCTCGTCCTCGCCGCCAACCAAGAGCCACTGCCTCGACCACCACCGCTTCAACCAACCCGTTTATTGTCGAGCAAATGGCCGCCTTGACCGCCACCCTCTCTCGGATAGACACCAACGTCTCCAAAACGGCACAAAATGTAAATATTGTGAGCCGTGAGCTTCACAGGTATTTTGACTTTGTCAACTACCCCTACGCTCAATTCGTCCCTTACGTTCCTCCGCCAAACCTCGGTGGTGAACCAAGTGGGACTAACAACGTTGGAGGAGAAAAAGCGGTGAATGATGAAGATGAAGCAGAAGAAGAAGAGAAAGACGAAGAAGCTGAAGAAGAAGAAGATGAAGATGATGATGATGGCAGCGGTGATGGAGAGGAAGAGGAAGACATCGACGAAGAACAGCTTCTTGATGACCTCTCACATGACTTCTAGAGCTCTAGCTCTTTTTCCTTGTATTCTTTATTTATTATATTTTTTAAATATATGCTTCCGTTATGTACTCCTCTATTTCCCTTAAATAATTAATAAAAATCTTTATGGTTTTTGTTATTAAATCTTTTTGTTAATGTCAAAAGGGGGAAGATAAGGGCTATGCATATTTTCAGGGGGAATTTTATTAAGGGGGAATTTTATCCAAACCCCATGCATATCCCCGTCTTATTTGCCATTATCAAAAAGGGGGAAATTGTTGGAACACACATTGTACGTTAAACTAAAGTCGTGTTCATTCCTGACAGGTTTTGATAATAGCCAAACCGCCGTGGATATGAAGGTTTTTCGTTGAATAACTCAAGGCGTGAAGAATGGCATGGAGCAAGACCAAAAAGACTCAAGGACAAGATCATGAATTGAAGATTTAGTCAAGTCGGTCTTTTGTGATCAAAACCGATAATCTATTCAAGTCTCGGTTCTCAAAGAGTCAAAATTATTTTAGAATATCATAAAATGTTTTTATGCATCAAAATAAACATTTTTGATAAATCTTTTTATTGTTAAAATCTCTGGTCCTTGCTCGGAACCTAAACCACCTAGGTCGGTGTTTGGCGTTTAGCGTTCGAGTGTTCGGGGTTCGGGGTTCGGGTGTTCGGCGCTCGGGGTTCGGGGTTCGGCGTTCAATGTTCGGTGTTCGGCGTTCGACATTCAGTTTTTGGCGCCCGAACCAACTCCGTGGTTTTCAATTTTTTAAACATCGTTTTTACCTCTGAGCATTTTTAAAAGGTTCCCAAAATAATTATTTTATAAAAACCACTTTTGTATCTTGGTCAATCGGTCTAACACGTGAAAAACGGTCAAAACCATACGCACGTGATATACGACCTTGGAGACTTGGTTTTTACCAAACAAGTCTTGTTTTCACTATTTTATACCGTATACAATGTTTTTAAAACCTGGTGTTTTCTTTCGGGAACACTTCGTTTTTGGACCTCGGCTTTTCAAAACGGGTTTCAGCTAGCTAGACTTTAGCTAGGTGATAATCGATTATCACTTTGGTGAAAATTGATTATCTGCCTCTGCAGCTTTGAACTCCAAAGCTCTGAAGCACGCAATAATTGATTGTCAATCTGCAACAATTGATTATCATTCTTCGCAGCCAAAACGCAGAATCTTCTGAGAGGACCAATAATCGATTATCACTTGTTGACAATCGATTATCTGGGTTACTGTTGTCCTCCAACGGATAGATTTTGTTGGGAAAAATATTATAGATTTTGATGATGATGTATTTAGAATGTAATAGGGACTTTAGGTCTCCCCCATTATTCAATGTAATTTTTCTTTTTAGAAATATTGTCGAAACCGAGCTCTTGAGATTTCCAAAAAAGTTGTGATATTTCTTTAAGCGTTTTGATACCTGAAGACTTAATCAATTTCGGTGATATGGAAATTGGATATCTTGATCGGAAATGTCAGAGACAAGTAAGGATTTCTCAAACAGATGAAAATCCTCCTATCCGGAAGACTACATGAGAACCGAATGTCTCGCTACAAACCGCTGAAGGCTAAGTCGGAAGACTAGCGCGAATTTCTTTCTCACCCGGAAGACTAAAAATGACTCCTCCGGATTTGTCAGCTAAGAATCGGAAGACTCATTGAAGACCGGAATTCTCAGAAAGCGGACAAGTGAGAAAAGACTTAGAAAAATTATCTAAGTCTTGAATGAAGAAATTCTACCTGTTGGTAAGGAAAAATCAATCTCTTGATTTTCAACGGCTAGATTGAAGATATTTATGCTGATTCAAGAACAAATGACTCGAAGACAAAGTCTGACCCTCTAAATTGAAGAGCCTGACCAGAATTCCTAAACAAGCACAAGAAGAGAAACAGAGTAAAGTGCTACAGTTCAGAACTCTTGAACATTAGCTAGAAGACGGATTCTGTGAAAATGGAATCACTTCTCAAACAATTGGGTATGTCCAAACACCCACTTCAACGAAGAATNCTTCATTCAAAATTGAAGCCAGCAAATGCAACGGATAGTCTATTATGATTCAACGGATAGATTATCCAATCCAGCTATAAATAGCATCCTTGGAAGACTGGAGAAGACACGATGAGATATGTTGATACAACAACACAACGAAGCAATCTAAACAAAGCTATCTCATTCACAGTTAGCCCAAAAAGCTTGATAAAGAGAGATTTCTAAACTCCTTATCCAGAAGCAAACTTCTCCTCCTTCCCAAGAGCTATAGTGTAAACACTTGAAGGTTTCCTTGCCTCAAGTACCACACCACGTTGAAGGATACAACTTTTGATCAAACTTCTTGATTAAAAGGGGGTTAGATCAACTTTCTCACAAGTTGGTCTTGCAAGTCCTATTGTTCGGATCTTGCAGTTGTTGAAGAAGCTTGACCTTCGAAGGAACAACAAAGCCAGCACGAGTGCAGTAGCAACATTGGTCTTACGAAGATATACCGTGCAGAAATTCACACAAGTGTAATTGTTGGTTCATTATTCAACAACCAACTACATAGTGGATTTTGAGGACGTAGAAGTATTACCCCACCTTCGAACCTCGTTAAAGTTTGCGTGTCTCTCTCTTTTATCGTCACTCTTACTTGCAATTATATTAACTGTGAAAACTAACCCATCCATATTGATTACTGCTCACTCTACCCACCAAATTCCGCAGACAATCTAAAGTTCACAAGAACTCTAGATTAACACTTATTTTCACGTTTTCAAAAGAAACGGAAAAGATTTTAAATTTGTAACAAAGTCTATTCACCTCCCTCTAGACTTTGTATCTCACCACTTTGGGACCACCAATTGGTATCAAAGCAAACTTATCACTATCTACGTTTAGATTAACGAGAAGCGACCATAATGGTGAACAATATGGATCACGGTTTGCCCAAGTTTTCTCTTCTAGGTTATGATGATTGGAAGATCATGATGGAAGCACATCTTTACGCTCTACATGACTGCATGTGGATGGTGCTTGAGGATGGACCCCTGAAAATCCAAATGGAGAATCCTAAGAGGAATCCAGAAACTCCAGATGTAGTCCGGTACATTCCAAAGCCCAAGGAAAAATGGGATGATAGAGATTGCAAAAAGCACAATCTGGACAACGTCGCCAAAGCAGCCATCTTCAAGACACTTGATCCCATCACCTTCTCCAAAATCAAGCATCTCAAGACTGCCATGGAGATATGGCAAGGTCTTGGGAAGCTGTGTGAGGGATCAGAAGACCTGAGAAAGCAGAAGATAGAAGTCCTGCTTGAGAAGTTCAAAAGCTTCAAAATGCTTCCCGGAGAATCGTTTGATATGTTGGATGAAAGATTCCACAAAATCCTGAACGATCTTGCCTCACTTAACCACGTTCTTTCTCCCAAAGAAAAGAATGTAAGGTTACTGAGATCACTTCCAACCGAGTGGTATACCAAAGCCACAACCATGGAAGAAGGAAGAAACCTGGAAAACTACACTGTCCAAGGTCTCCTTGATGAGCTCAGAACCTATGAGCACGAGCTGAAGAAGAAGAAGGAAGAACAAGTCACTCCCTTCCCCACGGCACTGATGACAACTCCAAAAGTCCCATCAAGTGAAGGGAGATGCCCAAGGAACTGTGACATACCCTCCTCCAGCCAGCCGTCAAGCTCAAAAATGGAGAACTACGATGAGGAATTCGCCATGATGGTCAAGCAATTCCGGAAGTTCAAGAAGTTCTTCAAGAAGGCTGACTCAGTCAGAAGGCCATCCAAGGGAAAGCCACAGGTAAGTGACTCCCCTCCTGAATCTTATCTGTGTTATAACTGCAGGAAGCCTGGCCACTGGAAGTCAGCATGCCCGTACCCAAAGGTGGAGAAGTACGGAGAAAGAGAAAGGAACGAGAAGAAAAAGAAGGCAATGGTTGCTGCTGAAAGTGACGAGTCATCCAGCTCAAGCTCAGATGAAGAAGCTCTCGTCTGCATGGAGCGCAGAGTTGAGAAGTCCAACCATGAGGATAGATGGACTATGTCAGAAGATGACACTCTCTGCCTAATGGCCAAAGATGATGCTGATCAAGAGGTAACTTCACAAACCTCCTGCTCATCTTCTTATGAAAGCATATCAACTTCTGAAAATCTTTTTGACTAATTCAAAAAGATGATGGTAGATTTTGAGGAAATAAATCTCAAACATTCATCCTTAACAGAGGAGAACAAACTACTGAGTGAAGAGAATCTCAAGTTGACTGAAGGTCGGAAAAGTCAACTGAATGAGATCACTCAACTCAAGACTGAAAACGAATCTCTCTCTGAAAAGGTGAAATCCCTTAACAAAGAGCTAGGGATACTTAAGTCTAAAGAGGCAGTGGATAAGCTTCTTGAAACGACCAAACATAAGGGTCGTGAAGGACTTGGGTTTGACCCCTCTAGTTCCAAAAGGAAAGGGAGAACAACTTTCATCCCTCCTAAACCTACTGCTAAACCAAATAAGCAGAAAGGAAAGGAAAAGGAGAAACCAACAGAAGTTCCCAAAAAGGTAGTCCCTCCTAAGAACTATAGGAAGCTGGACAGACCTCAAAGAGGAAATAATTTCAGAAAACCTTCTAACCCTCATTACACACGAGGCTATACTCACTATGGGGTAGATAGGAGTTTTCCAAGAAATTCTGAGTGGAGAACTATGCCAAGATATAGTCACCCTCCACCCCAGAAGCTATTTGTGCCACCTAAGTATGCTTATAACTGACACAAGTCAGACTATGCACAACCTGGACAAAACTATAGGTCTTATCAACCTAGGTTTACTAGGAGGAAACAGGAAATTGCACCTCCTGCACGTAGGAAGTTTTATGCCTACAACTATGATTACAATCCCAACAAGTTTATAGCTGCAAGGAAAATTCCCTGCAACTTCAAACTTGATGTAGGGACACACACCATTAACTATTCCAGACCCAAACTTAATTGGGTACCAAAATCTTCCTCCTCCTAATGCAGGAAGCCGCTAAGTACCCAGGTGTCTGGTACTTAGACAGTGGCTGCTCAAGACACATGACGGGTGATGCGAGCCTTTTGAGCAATCTAATTCCCTATGATGGTCCAAGAGTTACTTTTGGAGGAAGCAATGATTTTGGCCTTACTAAAGGGCTAGGAAATCTGGTGTACAAGGGACTAACCATCCAAGCTGTATCTTATGTTGAAGGTCTCAATTATAACCTTCTTAGCATAAGTCAGTTCTGTGATAAAGGTTACTCCTTGGAATTCTGCAAGGACATGGCATCTCTCAAGAACATATCCACAAGTGAAGTCATTCTCACTGGGAAGAGAATCAGAAACATCTATGAAGT